TAATAATTATCCGATAATAGTAATAATATTCTTACTTTGGTATTTCTGCAGCATAATTTAGTGAACCTTTTAAATTATATTCTTCTGATTGCAACTGCATATTAACAGCATATAGTAGATTTCCTATATGTAAAATTCCTAAATATACTTCTGCCATTTATTTTTGAAAATTATTTTCAAAATATTAGGACTGCTTTTATAATCTATTTATTTTTTAAAGGTTTGTAAAATTTTAAAATTCTACGATGGCGCGTATTAGGAGGAACCTGTCAACCAACATTAAGCTGACTCAATTCTGTAAATACACTATGGTTTTTGCCAAATTCACTGAGGAATTATCAGATCAGAAAGCTGCCATGCTATTCATTGGTAATGCCAAATCTGCCATATTTACCATTATATATAGTTAGCTATGTCTTTGGATATTTCATATCTGGAGAAAATTTTTTTAATAGTTTTATTGAAATGATATTCATTTTTTGAAATAGGGGAGGATCAAGGGAAATGTTATGATATCTCCTTATTAGATGCATCTGTTAGAATTGCATATGTTTTCACATCTTTCAAATCGTCAAGAATTGACCTTCTGGATTTATATCCTAAAACAATGATGATAGCCTTGCTCATTTGTGTTCTACAAAGTATACTTTTCATTTATATTATTCGTTAAATATTATGGGGAAATATTCTACCAACATTGTGATGTTAGCTCTCTGAATGTTGTACCGAATGATAGGTATTTACCAGTTCCGCAACTGTAGTTGCATCTGTATTATTTCTTATTTTTGAAGAATATTTTTGTTTTGCAATAGATGTTGATAGACTGCCCTGTACTGATTTATGCTTTGAAGATTTTTGATGCCTCAAAATATCATATTCCATTCCCCCATTGTATTAACTAAATACTGTAGAACAACTTCCCCGCACTGATTATAATTATTTTTTACATTGTAAATTTAAAATTGTTTGTTTTTTTATAAAATCTTATTTATACATTAGCATAAAATATATTTTTTACATTGTAAAATTACAATTTTTTATAAAATTTTATCTTGTTTACATTCTTTTGTATTTAAAAAAGATCGTTGGTTATTATTTTTAAACAAAATTAATATATTATAATAAATCAATGTTATTTTAATAATAACGATAGTATTTAAGAAATTTTGTGTCATACTATAATTACCTATTTTGAAAAATAGTTGCGTATTTTATTTTGGAAAATAGTTACCTATTTTATTTTGAAAAAGAGTTGGATATTTTATTTTGAAAAATAGTTGGCTATTTTATATTGAAAAATAGTTGGCTATTTTATTTTGAAAAATTGTTGGCTATTTTATTTTGAAAAATAGTTGGCTATTTTATTTTGAAAAATAGTTGGCTATTTTATTTTGAAAAATAATTACCTATTTTATTTTGAAAAATAATTACCTATTTTATTTTGGAAAATAGATTCGATTTTATATTTATAAAAAATAATAAGCGGATAACTAAGTCAATTCTAAATCCCGGCCGGCCCGCAAAAATTTTTTTTTATCAATTTTCATATTTCTCCCACAATTTTTATATTACTCCCACAAAATACCGGATTTCTCCCACAATTTGAAAATTTTGACCTGGCAACCCTGATCACGAAACCTATTATAAAAAATAATTTAGACCAATATTTTAATTCTACATTAAAAATAGCTTACATTTTTTTCCCGCTAAATTCGCGCTAATTGCGCAATTCATTTTTTTATATTGAGAACATAGCTAAAATTATTTTGTAAATATTTCGGGATTTTCTTCACAAATTTAACATAGTATTGGTCATTAGCTTAATTATGATTGGATAATATCTGTTAATGTATCTCTCTACCCTCACTAGGATTTTTAGAACGCAAAATGATTATTTCTATGATATTTAATATTTATTCATTTACACTTTAATATATCTTCAAGGTTAAATAATATATAAATATTCCAAAATTTATAATATATTTTTTTAAAGATTTTTAATATAAAAATGTATATAATTTAGAAAAATATATATAATATATAATTTAGCAATCAATAGTAAAGGGGGAAAAATAATAATAATATATAAAAAAAGAATGCCATGTGTGTTGAACTAAAAGGGAAAAGTCATTTTTTCGTGTTAGTCGCCAAGGTTATAGTAAATAGGATCCGGTCTAAGGCCAGTTCTCTCCTATTTCCCTAACAATTAACTTTTGGAGTTAGAGGTGGGTGCTAAGTGACCTCATATGTATCGCGTATTTTTATAAACACTGATGTGAATATGGTTTTCTGCAAGTTTGACTTCAGAAATGCCTTCAACAGCATTCATAAGAGCTCATTTTTATCTTCTTAAAACATTTCCCCAAATATTGGAATTTCCTTAATTCCTTCTATGGATTTTCTTCTTTACTCAAATTAGGGGAATTTTCAATATCCTCTGAAGAAGGGATTCAGCAAGGTGATCCACTAGGTCCCTTGCTCTTTACTATAAGTATTCAGATTTGATCAAAAATTTAAAGCTTGATTTCAAATTAGACCTTAATCTGTGGTATCGCGTTGATGGCTCTTTTGACGGATCTTTATCCAATGTTACGTCAGCCATCGATTACGTTGAAATAGAAGCTTCGAAAATTGGTTTTTCCTTAAATATAAAAAAAATGTGAAATATCTTCCCTCAACAACAAGGATTTTATCCCTCCCCCAGATTTTAAAATCATTCCGCACGAGGAACTTTGTCTTTTAGGTTCTCCAATCGGCTTTTCAACTTCCTTTTGTCAAAGTTTTTTTGACAATTTGATTCAATCTCTTTTTAATTCGCTAAAGAATCTTCCTCATCTTTCCAAGCATCAGTTTTTTTTTTCATCAAAAAATGTTTTTTCTTACTTAAATTCTTGCATATCTTTAAATCTTTCCCGGCTTTCCAATATAATTCCCTCCTTAAGTCCTTCGAATTAAAATTTAACATTTTATCAAATCCCTTTTAGTCCTAAAATTTTCTGACTTAATTGGTTATTTGCCTTTTTGCCTGCTTACCAGGGAGGACTTGGATTTTCACCCCCCCCCCCCCAATTTAGTGGCAATTGCTTGTTTTCTTTCTTCACGGATATCGTTTAACGACTATATTTCCTCGCTTGTCGAGTGGAACGATCCACTTTTCTTCGACCAAACAATCTTGCCTTACTCTAGTTCTCCAAGGATCCGAGCACCCCATTTCCAGCCATTTAAGAAGCTTTCTAGTTCCCATGCTTCAATGTGCAATGTAAAAACTTTGTTTGTGTCCCGATCTAACTAACCTTCAACTACTCAGAAAAGCAAAAAAAAAATCCTAACGGCCATGAATGGCCCAAATTGCCATTGGCCTTAGGCTAAATTGTCTTATTGCAGGCAGCACAGATGTCAACAGACGGGATAAGACAATTTAGCCTAAGGCCAATGGCAATTTGGGCCATTCATGACCGTTAGGATTTTTTTTTTGCTTTTCTGAGTAGTTGAAGGTTAGTTAAATCGGGACACAAACAAAGTTTTTACAATGCACATTGTAGCATGGGAACTAGAAATAGGGTTAGGGTTATTAAATGGCTGGATTGGGGGGCTCGGATCTTTGGAGAACTAGAGTAAGGCAAGATTGTTTGGCCGAAGAAAAGTGGATCGTTCCACTCGATAGGAAATAAAGTCGTTAAACGATATCCGTGAAGAAAGAAAACAAACAATTGCCACTAAATTGGGGGGTGAAAATTATTTAGTGTTTTGGGAAATCTTGGTCCCCAATCCCTAAAATTTTTAAATCAATTGGGTAAAAAAATTCAATATGGACGGGAGTTAGAAACGAGTCTCTTTCCCTCAAACAAAAAATTCAATTTGAAATCCTAAAAGAGAATTACGAGGGTTTCTTCGAAACACTCTCTTTTCTCACTTAGTTTAACACACATGAGATTCTTTTTTTATATATTATTTTTCCTCTTTACTACTGATTGATAAATTATATATTATTTTTTTTCCCCTTTATTATTGATTGCTAAATTATATATTATATTTATTTATTTTTAAATTTTACACTTTTATCTTTAAATCATTACGAGTATATTAAATATATGAAAAACACAGCTATGAGTTTAACTCTTTCCAAATTAACCCAAAATAAAATTATTTATAATAATAAAATTTAGAACATGCAAAATATAGTTAAATGTAGTATAATATAAAACAAATTATTTGAACAAAAATGCTATTTATAATTTAAAATAAGAAAATTAATTTGAATCGTGATTTTTATTAAAAAAATATCATTAATTGTGATTTAAAACTCAATTTTAATTAATTCAATTTATTCATTCTAACTCTATTTTCTAACATCACTCGAAAATTATGCAAATAAGTGTTCAATGAATTTGTAACTCACAAAAGTAGTTTTTTAAGAAAATTTATATTTATATTCTTTTATTAAAAATATCGGCAAAATTTCATTTATATATCATAATAAAGCTTATTAAAGCCATCAACAATTATTTTTGAATAACAATAAAGCTTAATATGAAGAATCTAAAATTATAAAAAAAATATATAGGTAGGAATAATATTTACAAAATTTTAGAATATTGCAAACAGAATAAAATCAACTCGGGTTATATTATTTTAATTATATTTACTGGGGGAGCTACCTTTAAGAAATTAATTTTCAGCAGACGATTTTTATTAACAACTTCTGTTGTGTAAATAAATCCATACTTTTGTTGGATTTAATAAATTTATATTTAACGATATAATACTTTGGAATTATTTTTGTTAAAAAATACTGAATCGAATAATAAATATATTAAAATAACAGGTAACAAAATTTTTATAAAATAATTATGATAAAAAAATTATAATCGATAAAATTTACGATTTCCTATTTATAAATTATAAAAAAAAATTATGTATATTGAGACTGATCAAATGTAAAACAAATAAAATTCATTGTTTTTAAAATTACTGTCAATTATTCTTTTAACCCTTTTCCAAACAATTAATATCTAAATTTATAAAAGTAATCACTGGTATAAAACTTATTATTTGACCCGGGGGAAATTTTTTATAAAAAAAATAAACTAATTCGAATAGTTAGTTATATGATATATCTTTCAGGTGCATTTAATTTCTACTATGTCCTGAGGCACCTTAACGAATTGGTAAACTAATCGTTGACCATCCACTTTGGATAAAATACCGCGTTGGTAGTAGTATCTAAATATAACATATAAATAATATTTTTTAAACAAATTTAATCGATTTTTGAATACTAAATTGAAAAGTATTATCAATAGGAAATTATGACAAAATTTATAATTATTGCATCTTGTGTGTATCTATATACAGAAAATTTTTTAGATGTTCTTTGACAGAGGAAAGTCTAATCAAAAACCAAAACTCAGATGAAATAAATGTATTTTATTGATGATGTTTACCTTAGCGCCCTACCCATCGTTTCGTAATTCATATCTGGTTTGTTCTTGTGTCCACCCCATAATTTCGAAACCGCTTTAGAATCGACCAACTTAAAGATTCCCTTCCCTCTATCAGTCCATTTGATAAACCTAGGGCATGAATTTTCGTCTTGAAGCAATTTTAACAAAAATTCCCAGAGATATGTCGTTGTTCCTAAAAAAAAATGATATAATATAAATAAAATTTTCTCTCAGACTATCATTTCAATAAAATAAGAATAATTAAATTTTAATAGAACCTTTACGTTTAGATATAGCGTGTTCGGGTGATTTGTGCTGACAAAAATTTTTAGGTTTGCGGCCTTATATAAAAAATTAGAAATAATATTAAACATTAATAAAAATAAGAATTGATATGGTTAAAGAAGGTTATAAATTTAAAAGGATGATCCAAATATTTTGAGTATATTCAAAAAATATTAGAATTTTGCGATATTATTTTTTAACAATTAAATCCTCGAAATAATAATACCTCTTTTTTTGATGAACGCAAAATTTGGATCGCTACTTTTAAAATCGTAATCGAGCGCGTAGTTTTGGGATTCGCAGTAACCATTGCCGCTGCCGCTGCTAGAACCATTATAACGGGGATAGTGATGATTGTAACGATATCGGTCCCGAATAGTTGTTTCATAAACAGAACGGATACCGGTTTCATAAACTGACTCTACCCTTTGGTAAAACGCGCTAGTATTTTCCAGGTGATGATGGGGAAATGACGTATTATTATTAATCTGTGATTGCGAGGGTTCAAGCCGGCTCCTTAGCCCATCCATCATTTCCTCTACCCCCAGTTCATTTCTGCCACTACCCTGAGCTGTTAAATCGAGATGATGAGTAATATGAGGAATGGGATCAGCGAAGGGGTTGGTCGAAACAGTGGGAACTCTGAAAAATGACTCATTCGCGACTTTAGATATAGGGATAGAAATGAAATAAATATTATTTGATGAGTTAAATTGTAGATATTTGAAAAAAAGGAAAGATGGTGATGCAAATTATAACAATGAGTATAAAAAAAAGAGGAAATTGTTTAGTTCAATTAAAGGGATTGTTTACGTTTAATTTAATTTTACCACATAAATAACTTACATGATATTTTACTCATTTCAATTGTAGTGATCCCCCCCCCCATCCAACCTTTCTGTTATCTAAATTATGCTAACCAATCTTCCCTGCGATTTGTAATATTTTTCCCCATATGGCCATTAGTTATGATATAATTGTTTCTCTAAATTCTCACTACATTTTTTTTGTCCCCAAAGAGCACTTATAAGAGACCGTACATGATCTCAGGAGAATTTTAGATAGCGGCCTTTAATATTTATAAGGCAAGAGATTTTACTAAAATATATGATATATCAAAATAGCATCACATAATTATATTACATAAAAAATGAAATTTTTTTAAAATAAAATGATCCTCTACACTATGCCCAAAGCATTTGTATAGCAATAATACAATAAGATTTTTAAAAAAGACAACTTACTTGTCCATTTAAGCATTAAATATGATAGTTTAAAGAAAAATCAACAATTAATAGTTTGATATTCAGCGAAAACTGCTGTTATATAGCATGTGAAATGAAGAGAAAATTTTATTTTGTCAAATGTACACTTATGTCCATTTTAAAAATTGAAATAAGATAGAAAAAAAACCTTGAATTCCTATTTTTTTATTTGTGTTGATAAAGTAACTAGTTAAACTTAATATTACTTTTTATCTGTTAAATATTTATATATATATCGCATTCATTTTTTTTATATAATGTGGAAATCTTCTACATATTAAAAAGTATCTGACAAGTCACAGATCTACCAATCAAGGAAACGTGAAGTTAATATAATTAAAAGTATTGATAAAGATTCGCTATGGCGAATATTATAGTTTATTTTCACCTTTTATGATCTATACCGATTTATGTATTTTGTTATAATACTAGCTGATAGCCCGTCAAGAATGACGGGGAATCAGAATTTATTTATTTATTTAATGATGGATGAATAATAAATTTTCCTTTTTTTACACAAAACTCATCTAGCAAGAATATATTTTTTATATTATAAATTACAAATACAAATGAATAAAAATTTAGTTTAAAAGATTTTTATTGTGCACATAAATAAAAATACTAACCTTATACTTCATAAACATAATTTATAAAAAATAATGGAAACTTTTAGAATAACTCCTCATCTAAATAAATATAAATTTCTGAATCACATCTCATAAGATAGGAAAATTTCTGATTCATTCATCATCAAATAAAGGTAAAATTTATTATTCATTTATCATTGAATAAGGAAGAAAATCTGATTCCCTGTCATTCTTGACAGGTTATCAGCTATTAACTTATATTTTTGATAGCGGGTTCTAAAAAAATCCCTAAAATATATGTAAAAGGAAAGGTCACCACACGCATTATGTTATTTATGCTAAAATAAAAATGGATTAATATTTCCTCCATATATACATTTCACAATGGCTTTCTTTATTTCCTTGTGTACACAATTTCTTGAATCCAGCAATTATCAGAAATTTTTTGCAAATGATTTAATAAGGCATATCTGTGGTTTGATTATTCCTTTAAGTTCAAATAAAGTAAGATGGAAAATGAAATAATTTAGTTATTGAAATTAGAGACCTTCACGGGCCTTGATTTTCATCAGCCTCCAGCCCAGGTCAGCAGTAAAAATAATTTATAGGCCAAGTCCATATTTAACAAAATATTCAAACCCCTCATCATAAGTTTCAAAAATTTTGCCCAAGGCTATATCCAAAAATATAATTTATTGTTTTAAATGAATAAATAAACAATATTTAAGTGCGTTTAGGCAATCACTTTGTTTGCAATACTGACATTTATTATTATTAGAAGAAAAAAATGCAATATATTTTTGTTAATAGGTTGGGCACGTTAGTAGATATATTATACCTGGCATCCCTCATTAAAATATTTTGTCACCTGAGTTAGAGATTATTTTATCCCCATTTTTGCCAAAATAATTTTTTTTGATTGATTGATTATTTAAGAATATATTAATCTATTTACATAAAAATATCTAAGAATTTTAACTTATAAATAAATTATAGCTAGTATTAGATTATTCTACATCCCTATTTTTTCTTACTGATAAAAAAATATTTTTCTGATTTTTTAAAACATTTTCAAGTATTGAATTAAGAGTTTTTTAACTGATGTATGGTTTCATATAATGATCCTGATATTACTGGTTCAAAATACAAAAAATTAAAAAGAATATATTTTGATATTATTTAAAGAAATATAATATTAACATAATTTTTATTCATTCCATTAAAATATATTTAAATTTTTAAAATAAATAGTAATTAATATTTTATACAATTTTTAGATTAAAGAGGAGTTGTTTGGAGAATAGAATAATATTTCTTAAAATAAAAAATAAAATTTGGTATTCTATCTCCAGTTTTAAAATAATAATAAAGATGATTTTTTAAGAAATATATCATGGTATTTTATATAATTAAGTGATGAGGAACTATTAAATATACTCATGAATTTCATATAAAAAATTATCCTATCTCAAAAAATCATTTAAATGCTTTTAAGACCTTCATAAATACTCTTTTAAACAAAGACCTCCTAACATAGATTTGAATCAAATATGGGGTCAACTTGATTGTGTCACAAAAACTATATGATGGTATTCATCCCATGCAATTGGCTATTTAGAAGATTATTAACAAAAAAAATTGTTATGGGTCAAAATCCAGAGTCTTAATTTATTAAGTATACTTAGCAATTAGGATTGAGTGTTAAAGGAGAAGTCAAAATAACATGCCATTCGTATTATATTCAGAATCCTCTTCCTAACATGGATATTATCAAAATATACTTTAAAAATGTTTTACAAATTTCGAGAACATTTTATTAATTGTTTTACTCCTAAATTCCTAGAGACATACATGGTAAAATGTGTTAGAACTGGTAGATTATCTTGTCCTTCATTGTGGAAACACACAATTAAGTGGCTTCCACCACACAAAAGGGGACATATCCAGTGCAGTGAATTTGCATCCACTGTTTGGCAGTAAAATTTACCTACTCTCAGGGCCCATTTAATTAAAGAAATATGATGGTACCTGATCCACTAATTGACAGTAATTTACCCTACTGTCAGGGTTCGACAGTAATTTACATAGGTAAGAATAGAAAAATAAGAATATATATAATTAATAGTGTGCTTATTTTTTTAGAGTATTTGTCTCAATAGATTAGTGAATTTTTGTATTTAATCTTTCTCTATTCTTATCAATAATCTATGTAAATCTCTGTCGGGCCCTGACAGTAGGATAAATTACTGTCAATTAGTGGATCAGGTACCATCATCCTTCTTTAATTAAATGGGCCCTGACAGTAGGGTAAATATTACTGCCAAACAGTTGATGCAAATTCATTGCACTGGATATGCTCCCTTTTGGGTGGTGGAAGCCACTTAATTGTATTTTTAATATGATAAACTATTAATGATTAGATGCGATGATATACCTAATTAAATTTTTATATAATCATTCATTAATGTTATTTCTAGATTTACCATCAAATATTTTGTTACAATTATGGATTCATATAATCATTCAAAAATTCACTAATCTATATTAAAACAAATACTCTAAAAAGATAAGCACACTATTTATTAATTATAAATTTTCTTATTTTTCTATTCTTACCAATGTAAATTACTGTCGAGCCCTGACAGTAGGGTAAATTACTGTCAAAGTGGATCAGGTACCATCATCCTTCTTTAATTAAATGGGCCCTGACAGTAGGGTAAATATTACTGCCAAACAGTTGATGCAAATTCATTGCACTGGATATGCTCCCTTTTGGGTGGTGGAAGCCACTTAATTGTGTGTTTTTAATATGATAAACTAATAATGATTAGATGCGATGATATACCACATTAATTTCAACAGAATAATGTCATAATTGGGAGACTTTGATTTGTTAAATTTGATTTTTGGTAAAGTCAGTATGTATTGCGTTTGATGAGTCATTTTTATTTTTATAATTTTATGTTTTAGTTAAATTGGTGAGTCATTGTTATTTTTATAATTTTATGTTTTAGTTTAATCGTGTTAACATTTTATTTTTAGATTTATAAAAGTTAATTATTGTAAAGTCATTATGATGATGGGATAATTTATAATTTCTAAAAATGTATTTCTATCTTATAATTTTAATTTGAGGCATGATTAGGTACTTTATAATTGTAAAAGAAGAAATTTTTAGATTGTTAAATTTTAATTATTTATTTGTGATGATTATTGCTTCCCTATAAAAGGGTAAGCGAAAATTGTAAATTATCAATTCATTTTTTTTTAATTAATTTTTTTTTTAATTAATTTTTTTTTTTTAACAATTAATTTTTTTTCGTTTTAAAAATTATAATATTTTTTATTGGTTAAATAAAATAAAATTATCAAGGAGAATTTGTAGTAAATTAGTCAAATTTTATTTAGGAGGAGATCCGTAAAATAAATAAGAGTAAATTAGGTAAGCAGCGGTCATAACGGCAATAGTTGGTGCCGTGACCAAACAACAAAGGTAAAAACAATTGTTTTTTATAAATTATTTTTGGGGAAATATTTTTGTGGAGCGCTGTGGTTGATAAGACCGTCAATTTGTGAAAACAAGAACCGTCAAGAGCAAGTACCGTCAAAAAAACAAAGAACCATCAAGAGCAAGTACCGTCAAGAACAAATACCGTCAAAAACAAGTACCGTCAAGGATAAGTACCGTGTGTAATAAAGGACCGTTTGAGGCAAGAGACCGTCAAGAACATGTACCGTCAAGACCGTCAAGTGAAAATTTTCAAAAGACGTCAATACACGGAAGTGCTGTCCATTTTTTTCCAGAAAACGTA